CGCCGTCCCGGGCCAATGGGGGCGGCGGGAAGTGGTGCGGGCCGAGGGATGTGCTGGCCGCAGCTTCCCGCTGCCCCCATTGGCCCGGGACGGCGAACCGCGGCGAGTGGGGGCCGCGATCGGCCAAACCTGCCGCGTCAGCAGATAAATAAACTGGCCCGGCCCGCTAGGGTGCTTACCCTGGCGAGCCGCGTGCCGAACGTTGCCGACCCCTGGTCTAGATCCATCCTCTTTGGAACCCCCTTTCAGGTAGTTGAAAGCAGCTATCAAATCCCCCCTCATTCTTCTCTTCTGCAGACTAAATAATCCCAGTTCCCTCAGCCTATTCACCTGTATAAACACAATAGGTTTTTGTTTGTTTGTTTTGTTTTAAACAAGAATTCCTCTGGTATAAAAATAAATGCACAAAGACTAATGCATGAGGAGCCTTACTTTCTATTACCACAAGCATTTTGAAAATAAGTAGCCATCTGACACGAAAAGGGTTAAATCCCCATTTTAACAACATATTATGGAGATCAAATTTTGGAATGGTGGGGCCTACACTAGACTATCCGTTTACATGTTCTTTTACCAACAACTACTTAGGTCCAGATAATCACATTATTCATAACACTTTTAAGGTTTCAGGAAGTTGGAGAAAGATGTACAGTAAAAACAAGTTAGTGTATATATTTTAAAAATGTTTCCTGCAATTATTTTCAATGATCCATTTTAAAGTTACAGGACCCATTTGTTTCTTCATCTATGAAATGGGGATCACATTTACTCTGCTTTGTAAAGCACTTTAGAGTTCTATCCACAAGTCCTAAGTTTGGGTGGGGTTTTTTTGTTTGTTTGTTTTTTTGGTTTTTATAGAATCTTAAATTCTAACGGAAAATTCTTGTTTGACTATATTTTTAGTTAAGTTTTCATCCCAACATCCTATTTCAAGTTTCATACAGTACAGACGACTTGACACAGACTAATTATCACAAGGAAGTGAAGCTGCAAGGTGTCCAGATAGAGATTGCCCATGAAAGACCAAGCATAAATACTGCTTAATATTCTACTACTTGCTGGTATCTTTGTTTCTTTTGACCTTGTGTATACAAACGATGGTGATCTCAGCTTTGGATCCATGGAAAAATACTAAATTATTTTCCACTGAGTTGCACATCAACTCCTAAATCCTCTCTTCAGACACTTCTATGTAAAAAGAAAAAGCTCATTAAGAGATTTGTGTGGGCACAAGTGATGCAGTACTGCCATCTGGCAACTGTTATTCTAAATTAGGAGATACCACATTGTGTGCTTACTACGCTGTCAATAACAGATTTTTAGAAAACCTTGCTTCAAAGTCTGTATTTATTGTAAATATAAAGGACAAGTTAATCAGCCACTATGGCAATGCACACCACTTGGCTATTAAAATTAACTCTACATGAACCTATCCTTTTGCAAGGGAACTCTGGATGATTTTTGGCATTTGGCTTGCCTGATTTTAATCAGTGATGAATGAACCATTGTACAATGTTGCTGCCTCAACAGAGCATCTTTTGGAGCTTCGGGTACAAGGCTGCCACTTGATGGGCCTACCACTGAGGTGGTTTGTTTGTCCAAGACAGCTGGGCACAGTAGACAAGGTTTGCTAAGCTGCCTGCTATGGAAACAGCTGAGGCATTTGGGGGGGAAGGGAGGGGCTGTGAGTGGCACAGAATGTTTGTCCAAGGTTCCCTGCTGAACTACGTCTTTTTATTTTGTTTTATTTACACTTCATTTCTCCACAGTTCACATGGTTGCCTTTTTTTGTGATTCAGTGAATGTGTGCTGTTAGGGAGAGTCACAGGCACAATACACTGCTCGACCAGAAGAGTGAGCTATAAGGATTTCTTAAGAAGAAACAGCCAAATGCAAACTGTAAGAGTTCATAATCTGCATCAATACAAAAAAGGACAAACATTTTTCTTTGAATTAACAGAGAAATCGCTATCAGCCTGGAAACAGCTTAGCTGTGCTCTCTTAATGCCTGCCATGAATCAACGACAACTCGTTCTACTTCCTAGCAACTTGTCCTATAAATCTCTGTCCGAATTCCCTGCTTCTGACCACTCCAATACCACACATTCAGATGCTTCCTTGTTTTATCTTTCATGCTTTCTCTAATCTTCAGGAAACTTGTCTGACTTCTCTGTTACTCTTGGCCCTCTCTTTTCTTCTTCCTCCACACTCCCTGCAGCTCCGTCATCTCCTCTACTCTTGATTCCTTTGATCTTCTTTCACCATCCTGTTCATCTCTCTCATTCTCAAACTTGGCTGTCTACCTGCATTTACTATTTCTGCACTTGCTCCTGTAATGCCTATGCCATTGGGAAAAAAATCTGAGGAGTTGGACTACACCAACATCCTCCACTAAGTCGATTCTCTTCCTTCTTTCTAAAGCTTTTCTCCTCCTCCATGGTCAACTCTTGTCAATTCCTTTCCATCTTCGGTCCTTGAATTTATTTCCCATTTTCCCTCCTCTTCTGCATTCTTCTCTACTAGGAACTTGCATTCTTCCTCTTTTAATCTATCCAGAACATTTCAGCTGAAGTCACTCAGTTCATCAGTCACAGAAGCATGGAAATGTAGGGCTGGAAGGGACCTCAAGAGGCCATCTAGTCCAGTCCCCTGCACTGAGGCAGGACCAAGTCAACCTAGACTATCCCTCACAAGAGTTTGTCCAACCTGTTCTTAAAAACCTCCAATGACAAGGGCTCTACAACCTCCCGTGGAGCATATTCCAGTGCCTAACTATCCTTGTAGTTAGAAAGTTTTTCTTAATATCTAACCTAAAGCTCTCTTGCTGCAATTAAGCCCTTTAATTCTTGTCCCACTTACAGCAGACATGGAAAACAATTGAACACAGTCCTCTTTATAACAGCCATTAACATATCTGAAGATTTATCAAGTCCCCCCTAGGTCTTCTTGCCTGGTGGTTTTTAATCTTTCCTCACAGGTCAGGTTTTCTAAACATTTTATCATTTTTGTGGCTCTCCCCTAGACTCAATCCAATTTAGCCACATCTTTCCTAAGGGTGGCACCCAGAACGACACAATACTCCAGATGAGGCCTCACCAGTGCTAAGTAGAGCAGGACAATGATCTCCTATTCTCCGGGGTCTTACATATGACATTCCTGTTAATACACCCCAGAATGATAGTAGCCTTCTTCGCAACTGCATCACATTGTTGACTTATATTCAATTTGTGATCCACTGTAACCCCAGATCCTTTTCAGCACTACTACTGCCTAGCCAGTTACTCCCCATTATGTATTTGTGCATTTGATTTTTCCTTCCTAAGTGTAGTACTTTGCACTTGTCTTCATTGAACTTTATGATGTTGCTTTCACACCAAGTCTCTAATTATCAAGATAATTTTGAATTCTAATCCTGTCCTCCAACGTGCTTGCAAGCCCTCCCAGTTTGGTGTCATTCTCAGATTTCATAAACATACTCTCCATTCCATTATGCAAGTCATTAATGAAAATATTCAACAATATGGGACACAGGACAGACCCCTAGATACACTCTCCCAGTTTGAGAGCGAACCACTGATAACTACTCTTTGAGTATGGTTTTTCAACCAGTTATACACTCACCCTTATCGTAATTTAATCATATTTCCCTAATCTGCCTATAAGAATATCATGTTGGACAGTATAAAAAGCCTTACTAAAATCAAGATATATCACATCTACAGCTTCCCCCCTTCCAGTAACCCTGTCAAAGGAAAAAATTAGGTTGGTTTGGCATGATTTGCTTGACAAATCCATGTTTATCCATGCTATTATTTATTACCCCGTTATCCTCTACATGCTTACAAATTGATGTTTAATAATTTGTTCCAGTATCTTTCCAGATATCAAAGTTAGGCTGACTGGTCTATAATTCCTCTTTGTTCCCCTTTTTTAAAGATATGGGATATGTGCCCTTCAGTCATCTGGGACTCACCAATCCTCCATGATTTCTCAAAGATAATCATTAATGTTTTCGAGTCTGCTTCAGCTAGTTCCTTAAGCACCCTAAGATGAATTTCATCAGGCCATGCTGACTTGAATACATTTAACTTATCTAAATATTCTTTAACCTGTTCTTTCCCTATTTTTGCTTGTATTCCTTTCCCCTTGTTAATATTAATAAATTGTGTTATATATCTGGTTCATTAAGCTTTTTAGGGAAGATTGAAGCAAAATAGTCATTAAACATCTCAGCCTGCTTGATATCATCCATTACTAGCTCTCTCCCCCCCCCAAGAGCAAACCTACATTTTCCATTGTCTTTCTCTTGCTCCTAATGTATTTATAGAACCTCTTTTATGTCAATTGCTAGGTGTACCTCATTTTGTGCCTACGCCTTTCTGATTTTGTGCTACTTGTTCGTACTATTCTTTTGTATTCATCCTTAGTAATTTGTCTCCATTTTTGTAGGATTCCTTTTTACTCCATGTCCTTGAACCCCTTCCATTAGTGTCTAGTGGGTTAGTGCATCACATTCAAGGTCTTTGTTCTGACTCTCATGATGCTACATAATCTTACCCTCATCTACTCCTATTTCTACCTCTCAATATGCTAAACTCCACATCTCCTCTTGCTTTAAAGCTTTCCCTCCATTCTTGCCTTCATACTTTTCAACATCCTTTCCCTAAACTTGGAACTATATCCCACTTCCTACCCATCTTTAAAACCCATTTCTTACAGGAGGAATCCTTCTTTTCCTCTTCTCATCAATAATCTCCTTATCATCTCTTACAGTTCTCATAGCATTTTGTTTTAAAAAAGTAGATTGGGAACGTAGCTGTCATTATATAGAAGAAATTACTTCTCATACCAGATAGAAAAATACATTAAAACTAAGAGACAAAACTTACATTACTTTTGTTTTTTAAAACCTCACTTGAATACAGTATTAAAAATACACCATTAATCCAGAGCTAATCTTCAAAAGATCATCTTGCCCTACTTAAAATATATATCCTTTCCCCTCCAGTGTTTTGTTCCTTAGTATTATTACAGTTGCCATAAGAGAATGTTAAAGCAACATATTGGGGGTCAAGTGATCAGACTGGCAGTGGCCTTGGGGAAGTTTCACCTTCCTCTGCAGCGTGGGATGCAAGTTTCCTGCCAGGATCCTGTGTACAGCTCTCAATCAATTTCCAGCCATTCCAGGGGCCTCGGGCATTGGTGCACATTGGTTCCTCCTATTCTCTGCCTCATCTGAAAGCTGAACTACCTTAGCGTAATTTTAGTTGTTGGGTTTAGCATGCAGGGTGGCATTGGTGGCCTGTGATACACTGGTGGTCAGATCAGATGATCTGGTGACCCTTTCTGGCCTTAAATTCTATGACAAAGAGCAGCCATCTCTACACTAAACACTGGTCTTCCTAGCAGGTCTGTAGCCTCCACGGGAGTTGATGGAACATCATAAAGCACAGCATCAGAGCCATGAGTACCTGCTAGGTCTGAATGCCAGCACTTCCACGTTTCCTAATGCAGCGCCTCCCTTACACAACAGATACGCGAAGACACAGGAAGTGTTAGTAGTGGCTAGATGCTCACAGGCGGTGCAGCTTTGCACCCACAGGTTAGCTGCTGAGCCCCAGTGATATGCTCGGCGCTGTACAGAACTCACCCTACAGCGGGCCTCTGCCCTGGCGCGCTTCGCCCAGGGCGCAGTAACTCGGGGCCCTTGTCATGCGAGAGCCCCCGACAGCCAGGAGCCCGACAGCCCTCAGCTCCGGCAGGAGGGGGGAGGCTCCCCACACAAGGGAGAGGGGAGCGGGATCTCCCTGCCCCCACCCTAGGGACCAGCGGGAGGAGAGACAGCCAGTCCCGGCCCCCGGGCGGAGAGGGGCCCCGCAGTACCTGCTGCTCCGCGGCGGCCGGCGGGCGCCTCTCCCGCTCGTACAGAGCCAGCGGCGCCCTGGTGCGCGGGTTCACGGGTGTCCTGAGGCAGGAGGCGGTGAGGAGCGCAGCTCGGTGCGCCGCGTCCATGGTCCCCGGGCAGGGGCAGGGGCAGGGGCAGGCTCAGCCGCCGCCGCCTCCTTCCCCCAGCGCCGAGCTTGGTTACCAGCTACACCGGTTACCGGGGACGCTACGGCGCCTCCATTGGGACAAACCTGCCCGGGTCGGAGTCCTAAACTGCAACTCCTCCCCCTGCACAGAACTCACCCGGGGCACGACGGGAAGCCCCCCACCCCCCCAGCAGGCGGAGGGGGGAGCCCCGGAGACTCCTGTCCTGCCCAGATGTTGCCAGGGGTGGCTGTCAAGTCCTGTCCCCCCTGAGAGCTGAGCATGCCTAGTAACCGCTGTTCCCAGGAAGGCTGGCTGCAGCCCCGGGAATGCCCAGGTGGTCTCCCATTCAAGTACTAGCATTCAGTGCAGTAGGGCTCCCGTAGATTCTGCTGAAGCTGCATAGGTCATGCAGGCTGCAAACCCATCAGGCAGAGTGCATCTGGCCCATGGGCCACATGTTTGTCTTAGAGGCCTAGTAGTACCTACTTGTGGCAGCTTTCAAACCTTTCACTCTAAGAAGCACATCTTTCTCCTTAGAACCCAATTCCAAAGCTCAGATGTGTCTACATGTAATATTTTTGGAACCATAGATAACTGACCATTAAATGAAAGGAGTGATGTCAACCTGTTACAGTCAAAATAACCATCCTAAGGAAATAATATTAGTTAGGTGACTCACATGTTATTTAAAGTTGTACAAGGCCATGCAGAAATAAAGTGAATGGAAAAACCCTGCATTGTACAGGTTCTGACTCTCGCAAGGTGGGGATGATAGAAGGGTCCTGGTGAGGCTATAGAAGGTTGTGCAAAATAAATAAAGCGCACAAAAAATAGTACATTTTAAATTATTTTAACTCTTACATAAGAATGGCCATACTGGGTGAGACCAATGGTTCATCTAGCCCGGTATCCTGTCTTCTGACAGTGGCCACTGCCAGATGCTTCGAAGGGAATGAACAGAACAGGGCAGTCATCAAATGATCCATCCTGTCGCCCAGTCCCAGCACCTGGCAGTCAGAGGCTCAGGATTACCCAGAGCATGGCATTGCATTTCTGACCATCTTGTCTAATAGCCATTGATGGACCTGTCCTCCATGAACTTAACTAATTCTTTTTTGGAATCCAGTTAGTTTTGGCCTTTTAAAAAACTTATTCCAAACGAGCCCCGGAATAGTATGGCCTTTTAAGGTTACCAGTGTTGTAAACCTGCAAAACACACCCAGTGCTTTAGTGCTAACTGGTATAGGATATAAGGATGTACAGCAGGCTGCTGGTGCCTCTGCTAAGAAAATTATTAAATATAGACCTGTATGTAGCTGGATTTACCTTATAAAAAGTGTACAAGGCTCCTTTTGAAATTTGTATAGATCCAATGAAGTGGAAGTATGCATGCACAGAGACTGTAACAAAATGTTACTGGAGCACTAGATATCTTGAATGTAATTATTAAGGACCAAGGCAAAGGCACTGCTGAGCCTTAAAGGATGGCATGGTGGTGCAGTCCCCACTCCATATGCTTGTAATGTGATTGTGCCAGTGCTGTCACTCAAGTCTGATCAGTTGGGGAATGGGCACAGAGAAGGTGCTACCCTCTCCATTCCCACAGCTCCCTTGGTTAGAGAGCTAGCAAGAAAGTCTATTTCTGGCATCCTCCTGGCAGCTTTCATTTAATGGGAACATGGGAATGTCACTCCAGAGGAAGAGCTTGGCCCTACCCAATTGGGGAGTTAATTGGCCAAAGGCCACCTGAATAGCTCTTAAAGCTTCTTTGTGCTATATTGGCTACTATAACCATATTTGAGGAAGGGGAAATTTGTTTTAATGCACATCCATAATAGCAACAGGGCAGGAATATGCTGTGGAAGGTTCTAGTCGCACCTTTACCAGCCCCTAATTGCTGAGTTGGAATACCTCATTCTATTCTAAAAGTAGCAGCCTCTGGAGCAGTGATATTGTGAAGATTTTTTTAAAGTAAACTTTTTATACTTGATGCATGCAAGGATTTCAATTCAGCTCTGGAGGTAGAAGTGGTATACTAAAATTCCCTGCTCCTTTAAGTCCCTAGTGAACACTCACAAGGAAAAAACCTAATTAAGAATACTCTAAAAAGAACAAAAGTAGTGAATGGATTTGAATGTTGTTTAAAACTAACTGTTGGAAACACATACTCCTACGGGAATTCTGCACCACTGCACAATGCAGAATTTGGGCTGCAGAGCTTCTGGCCGCCACTAGGGGCTGCTAGACTCTGCAGAGCAGAGTGCCCAGCGTGGCAGTGATAGAGGCTGCACGCTCTGGCTACCCGACTTGATCCTCATTCTCCCAGAAACAGGAGAGGGCGCAGGAGACACCTCTGGCAAAGGGGGAGGAAGGGCAGGGCCGCACCACACCACGTCCCCCAGTGGGACAATAAAGAAGCTGGCAGGGGGTGGGAGGGGATAAGTAAAGGCTCTGGGGAGTTGTGGGTGTCTGGGCTCACCCTACAGCTGGGGTCTAGGGGTGCAGGTGTCTGGACTCTTGGGACCCCATGCAGCCCCCTCCCCCCCAACTGGAACTGGATTGTCATAGGGGTTTCTTTAACTCTACTCCTAGGGGAATCTTTTTTGTTGTGGTGTGTATTGTTGACAGGTATTTTGAAATAAATTATCAAAATAATTGAAACTGGAGTGATTATATGATTTTGACAAATTAAATATGCAGAATTTTAAAATAGTGTGCACAGAATTTTTAATTTTTTGGCACAGAATTCCCCCAGGAGTAAACACAGCACTAGCAGTACATGAAACATTTTAGTCCATTTTTAATTAGCTACAAGAGGACACTCTCTAAGATGGTCATGCTTTTAATATCCTCCACAGCTAGGACCAGAGCCATTCCTAGGAGGGTGCAGAGCCTGGAACACAGGTACTGAGTTTCTAATCTGCCAGGGGGTGTTCCACCCCCACTCCTCCCCTCCCCCACAAGGCCCCACCCCTCCCCCGAGCATGCTGTGCCCTCGCTCCACTCCCCTCCACCCCAGCGCCTCCAGCCGCCACAAAATATCCAATCCACAGCAGGCAGGAAGCACTGAGAGGGATACCGTAGAAAGACCAGTTGAATGATTAGTGAGGACTAAAATCCAGCTACATTATTGTTTTCTTAGAAGAGATTGTACACCAGTTAATACACTGCTGCTATTCCACAGGAGTCAGAAGCATCTTCCTATATCAGGGGTCGGCAACCTTTCAGAAGTGGTGTGCCGAGTCTTCATTTATTCACTCTAAATTAAGGTTTCATGTGCCAGTAATACATTTTAATGTTTGTAGAAGGTCTCTTTCTATAAGTCTATAATATATAACTAAACTATTGTTGTATGTAAAGTAAATAAGGTTTTAAAAATGTTTAAGAAGCGTTATTTAAAATTAAATTAAAATGCAGAGCCCCCCGGACCGGTGGCCAGGACCCGGGCAGTGTGAGTGCCACTGAAAATCAGCTCGTGTGCCGCCTTCGGCACGCGTGCCATAGGTTGCCTACCCCTGTCCTATATCATGCTGCACTATGATAATGTGGGTAATAGTCCATTTGTGTAACTAATTACTACCCCCGTCATTTAATAACTATCAAATATGGAAGCTGGCTTATTGATTTACATTATTTGCTGAATGGGGATATCAGAAACCAAGAATTGATGCTTGGTATATTTATCAACTGTTGAGCACCTACATCAAAAAAAGGTGTTTAATATTAAGAAGTCTAAGATTGAACAAAGTCCTGTATAGTCAGTATGGGATTGGTTTTGGCAGCATATTTCCATAAGGTCAAAACATGAAAAATTAGACAGAAAATATCTAAATTGGTATTTACAAGATTAGATCAGCTTTTCAATCCTGTATTAGGCTGTGTTTGGCAGGTTTATTACCAAGCTACCATGGCAACTAATGACCAGACACTAGAATATGGCCCTGAAACTTATTGTTAAAGAATCTCAACTAGTAAATATTTCCATTTGCAGTTAATGAAGGAAACTTTAGCAATTAAAAGCTAGAAGACATTGTCCCAGGTAGCTGAACTACAATGAAGTTTATTGAAGGGCTGTGGACTGAGAGGAAATACACTTGTATATAGGCATTAATGGATGAAGAGACATTTGCAGAAAGAAATGTACATTTGAAATTATAGGGCACAGTACAATCCTATACTTGCCATACACCCTAGTGGCTGTAGCAACTGCCTGGGTAAGAGAGGATGGAGGTTAGTCGGGCTTTCTGGATAGGAAATATTACTCTATTTTGGACAACTTTTGGAGAAAATACATCTGAGGTAGTGCAGTTACTGCTAAGATTCCATAGTAAGAATTATTTCAAACTAGATATTACAGAAGCTAACAACTTGCACTGAAGATTTCTTACTTATCAAAACAGGATTAGTGTGAATGAATGTGCATGATTAATACAGAGCAAAAGTGGTAAAATTTTAATTTATTTTAGTACTACTCTGGTGAGAGTTTTTAATGCAAAGTTTCAGTTATAGAATACTGCACTTTCATTTACAAACAAAGTTTGCCTCTTGAAACCAGAGATTTTATTAAATTAAGTTGATAAAAGTACATAAACTTAAGTGGGTTTTAGCAGAATGCGTGACATAGGGATTCTGTGAAGAAACCATACTCCAAACTATGCCGTGGTTCTCTCGCCGGTACTGCCATTTCCTTTAGTCACCTTATCGAGTGTTCACCTGCAAAGATAAGTTAACATGATCAGGTATGTGGATGGGAAACAATTATCAACATCCCTCACTTTAAAGATACCACTCCATATAGAATCCTTTTGTATTCTGTACTTTAAGCTGGCTGCTGTAATTACCATTACTTGGTTTTGGTTACTGTTTTCCCACAAGGATTGTTTCATTTTTCATAGTTTCAGTTATCAGAAGACTGCTGAATTACATGTAAATGGCATACAACTCCTAGGAATATAAGGGTATGAAATTCAATAATGGTA